AAGTTAAAATTTTTATCTCAACATTCTTTCGACAATTGGGGGCTTGCTTAGCTGCATTAATGTCTGATAGCCTTAAGTGCCACTAAGAATTCCAACGGAGCTTCTCTAGTCATAGAAGCCCAAGAACCTTCCTGTTAAGATTCCAAAGCTTTAAGAAAATTAAAGGGCACCTCTTCCTCAGTTTACTGTCTTCTAACCACTCTTATGAATTACCAAACATAGAAGTTATCTACTTTAGAGAGAGAGAAATGCAATCCAGAGATGTGAAATTTAACTGTACATATTAATATATTTGTGCTTGTCTCTGACAATGATTAATGCAAGAAAAGATTTGTGTAAATTTTACTGATCCTTGAGGACACGGACCACACCTGTTCTTGCATCTAGCTGTATTCCCAGTGTCCAGCACAGTGCCTGGCGCACGGTGTGCACACAGTACATCTGTAGAATAAGCAAAGGAATGCTACATCTAGCATCAGTTTGGTAATGTTTCTTTTAGAGGAATGTATATAATTTACTATTACCTATTTTTGTGCTTCTGGTGAGAAGAGAACTATTTTCTTCTCCTGATGTCTGTGACACACTAGATAAGATGTTTTGATTCAGTCTGAAACCATAATGTAAGCACTCATCTAAGGTCATTTCTCGAATCAGAAAAGATCTGGAATTGTGCTCCTGCCTTGACTTGGAATGAGTGACATCTTCCAGGGCAGGTGATCGAAATGACTAGCACTTTCCAGGACAGGTTTGTACCCAATAAGCAAAATAACAGAGACTATATTGCAGACCCTCCGGTAAATAACTGATAACAGACCAGTTCAGGAACTTTTCAGCATAACAGACATTATTCTGAATTCGATGGTTGTATTTCTATTTTCGTATGAGCAGAAATAAAAAGCTTTTTATTTTTGAGAAATCCAATCTGTAACATCAATCATATGTATTTCCTTGGCAGCATGCGTTTTGGTCTTTTTATTTCCCAGAATAATGTAACTTGATTGTCCAACTTAAAAGCAAGAGACATTCAGGGATGGCCAGGTAAGTGACCTAGCTTGTCCAGCTCCAGTCAAAGAATTATCAGTTGCTTCAGAAAGGAGGTGCTGGTCTTCACGCCCTCAGCCCTCTCACTGATTTCCTTCTGGCCAGCCCTGAACCCTCCCTAAAACAAAAGCAAAAAGGAATTACAGGGAAACTCCTATTGCCTTAAAGCCCACCTGCCTCAGCGTCTCCAGGATTATGTTAAATACACTGATTCCTGGACCCTGCTCCAGACCTACTGAATCAGAATCTTTGGGGGTGGTATCTTGGGATCCGAATTTTTAGCAATATTGATTTTAGCGATATTTAATGCACGCTGAAGTTTGAGAACATGTACTTTTCCTTGCAGGCGATTTAACATAAGGGATTCAACTGACAAGAAGGCCTTTTGTGCCCTTGGCATTGCCTCCTTCTTTTGTCCCCAGCCCTTTGGGGCTGTCCCCCAGTGCTTTACTCATCAGTTCTCACTGCCCTCAGGCAGGAGCAGGTGCCCTGGCTCTGGACCCAGCGGATCTGCCAGACGTTTTCCGCCATCCCTGAGCTTCCTGTTCTTCCCAGAAACCCTGGCACAGGCCAAGGACAGTCAGGGAGTGGCGGAGACATGTGCCCAGTTAGGAGAACTTGGAAGCAGACTCGTGCAGACTCTGAGTCAGCGCTCTCCACTGGGGACAGGAGCAGGAAGTTCGGTGACTCAGCGCTGCCGTGACAGAGGGTGCTGGCCACGCGGCAGCTAGGAAGAATGGGCCTCTGAAGTGTTTCTCTGACCTGAGAGGATAGTGGCTTAGAACCTTTGCCCTGTGCCTAACACAAACCTTATATTCCTGTGGGCACGAGCTGTGCCCACTATCCTTTTCCTGCCTTTGGGAAAAACACTTAGGAGTTCACAAGAGCAATTGGGGACTTTTAACTGAAGATAACCAGTGTCGGTCTCATGGGACGCTTGGAAAGGCGTTAGCCTCATCGTATCTCCCTCAGTTCTCTCCCTCCTTCAGTCACTCCAAACACACCAACCAAAAATTAAGTCAGAATGATGCTCAAGTCCAAGCAAGTCTAATTCAAATTCCCTAGACCTGTGGTGCCCAACCCCCGAGCTACAGACCGGTACCGTCTGTGGCCTGTTAGGAACTGGGCCACACAGCAGGAGGTACGTGGCAGGCCAGCAAGCAAAGCTTTGAGCAAAGCTTGTCTGTATTTACAGCTGCTCCCCATCACTCCCATCACCGCATAAGCTCTGCCTCCTGTCAGATCAGCGGCAGCATTAGATTCTCATAGGAGCACAAATCCAGTGGGTCTGCAGGTCACATCTAGAGAAACACTAGTTTAAATGCACATCAGAGAGCGAATGACTCTGAAGATTCCCTCGGAATGGTAGGGGAGTTGATGGTTGGGGAGAGAAATATTCCAATACTTCAGATGCCTTCAAAAGGGAAAAAGTCGGATGCAAGTACATGACAGACATTTGTACAAGCTTGACAAACAGTAGAACTTGGAATTCTGAAAAATACACCCAAAGGAAATGGAATCCCATCATTCTCCTTATTTGCCTCCTCACATCTACTTGCTGGTCAACCTGAGCATGAGTCTGACTTTCAAGCGCTAGTCTGACCTCTAAGCGCGAGTCTGACCAGAGGCCCCAAAGGCCCGTCCGTCACCAGCCAACCTGGCTTCTTCCCGAAGTGCTTTTAATATGAAGGTGACGCTGAGAAGATATGATTTGCTTTGAGGATTGGGCCTGGCATCTGATTCCTGTCAGAATGCACTCTCTTCCTTCCAAGGGTGCGTCAGAACTAGAGAAATATCACCTCTGTTATCCAAGTAAACTTTACCTCATCAATTTGGAATGGGCCAAAGCTTTCTTGTTTGTTTTTAAGTCTTTCTTCAGAGGTGGTAATTCTTACTGCATTTGATCCTGTAGACATTAGCATAAGAAAATTAAGTTGTCAAGAAGCATTTTCAAACGTGGTCATTCTGAAGCAGTATTCTACTTTTGCATTTGGAGGACTGGCAGCTAATTGTTTTTTTAAGTTCCTACTGGTTTTATACAATAATACACCTGTGCATTTGCCAGGCCAGTCGGATCCTCCACCTGAATCCGTAGCCAACTCCTTGTACCTCATTACTTTCTCACAACTCACTCTGTATCCCGGACAACATCATCTATAGCCCTCCTTCCTTATTTCCACCTTGGCTTTTACAATCTTGTCAAAATAGGTCAAGAAGACCTACTTGATGTTCTATCAACCAACCATGAGTCTTCTAAAGTGACCAAAGTGCTGTTACGTTGCTCCAGATGATTTCATTATAATAGTAAGAAATCATGTAGCACTTATCATATGCCAGAAATGCTCTAAACACTTTGAAAATATTAACTTATTATTCCTCATAAAAAACCCTATGAGATATATGAGGTAGGCATTACTGTAAGTTACTATAAGCCAATTTTATGGATGAGGAAACTGAGTCACACAAAGATTAACTAACTCAGACAAAGTCATGTAGCTGGTAAGTGGTAGAGTAAGGATTCAAACCCTTGCTCTGTGCTCTTAGTCATTGTGAAAATTGATCATACGAATTGGGCCATTCTCATTACATACAAATAAAATGTAGTCGAGAATCCAGTGGGAAAAAGCACTCAGGACACATAATGTTGCTCCAAGAATGTAATTCACTGCGAGCCTGGCTGCGGAAACTACCTGCCATACCTGAAATCAGTTTTATCTAACAGTTCCGGCAAGGACCTGCTGCGACTCTAAGAGTAACTTTACCCACTGCCATCTCCCACCAGTCAAAACTTGCCCACTCCCCAGAACCATACTAGTGCCAATGAACTTTCTCAAACAGCAATACGTAACATTTCTCTTTTTAATAAAACTGCCAACCTTCCCTTTGTTCTTCGAATATACTGAAGACCATCCATTGTGAGTGTAGGTCCCAAGTTGCAATTCTTTCTTCCCAAATAAAACATTACATTTAGAGATTCATGTCTACATTTTTATTTTGACTTTGACAATCACTATCTATATTGCCCATCTAAGAATTCAAAACAAAAACGAAAAAGCCAATAAAAGCTCCAAAACCAAAGAAAAAATATTATCCTTAAAAAATCTATTTTCAAGGACATTCCAGAAAAGTAGACTAGATACTGCAACCTAATGTGAGACTCGATATACTCAATGTACTCAGTGTAAAGGCAGAATCATCTCGTGGTTCTTATATCGTCTATATGTGCCCGCAACTATCTGATTTACGGAAGGCTGATTTAACAGGTTCTTTGCTAAATATTTACACACCAAAGAGAACCATCCTTCAGACATGATTGTGCTCAGTACACGGTATCCAGAAGCCCACACAGAATGACTGCACCTACCTGGAGGCGTAGGAGAGACGAGAGATCCACACCACAACAGCCTTTTACTACCACCTCTCAGGGGCGCCCAGGTGAAAACTGATGTTGCTGGTTCCTACCAGAATCTAGTATGTTTTAGGGAAAGTATTGATTTAGGAGTTCCAAGACTGAATTTTAATTCTGGCTCTTTAATTCTGGCTCCATTAATCAGCTGTGCAATTCAGGGCAGGCTGTAACCTCTCTGAATCTATTTTCTCCCTTTTTCATGTTTTCTTGGGGTCCAAATGAAATAGTTATAAAAGGAGATAAACTATAAAGTGCAGGAAAACGGTAAGATGATATAACAGATTGTTTTAATAAAAATGATAATTATTATATTTTCTTAAGGCAATGTGACTATCTCCTGCTCCCCCTCCCCCACCACCCAAGTCAACTTCTAGAGGACAGGAACCATGTCTTATTCTTCTTTGCCTCTTAAGACTGTTTCTGGCACATAGTAGGTAATCAATAAATGTTTCTTGAGTGAATGAATAAATATAAGCAATTTTCAAAGGAATTTTAGAGGTCCCTATCTTGGTTGAGAGGCGCCGATGGAAGGAAAAGCCATTCACAGTACCTGCTTCAACCACGTGGTCCATCGTTGGAAACCTTTTGTACACCGCGGTGCTCACCGAGCGGAAGATGAGCAGGGAGGTGAGATTTACGTAGCGCATCAGCGTCCTTCTGAGCAGGCGCCCGTGCTCGTCGCTTCCGTGGACACTGCTGGAGATGAGGAACATCAGCCTGTCCGGCCAGGGCAGATTCACAAACTGGTTCCACCATCGGTTCACTACCAGAGTAACATAAAACCCTGTGGAATAACAAGAAATTATAACGCAATATCTTACAGCAGACACGTCGGTGACACTGATGCTTTTAGCAGAATTTTAGCCTTTATAGGCGTTGGGGCATAAAAATATGTTGTTATCCATACCTTATGATTTTGCCCTCCAGAAAAAATGCCATTTGTGCCTGACAATGCCAGAGCACCCAGTAAGTGGGTATTAGATCTCAAATACTGACTGCAAAAATGGAGGGTTAGTGAAGAAAAAGCTTAATTGTCCAATAGCAGATTATTACCTCAAACGTGTTTGGTGTTAATTTAGCGAAAGCAGCCCTGAAGGCAAACCTTATGGATGATTCTGGTTCTATCGCAAGCGGTGGCTTTTCAGGCATGCCTCTCAGCCTGGAAACACTCCCATGCAGAGTCATCGGTGCCATCCTAATGAGACAGCTGTGTGGCTGCATTCTGCGTGTGACCTATACTTACCAAGCACAAAGGTTACTGGAATTTGTTCAGCATATCTGTCACAGTAAATTGATAATTTTTCAAAGTAACGTTTTTGGGCTCCTGTAAGTAACAATCTGGAGCAAAAATAAAATGCACAGCCCTTTATGATATTATACTTCTGCACCTGCTTTGCAAGTGACATTAAGTGCAAACAATTAAGCACAAATAATCTGCTTTATTTTTAAAGGAGCAATAACTTTTTCCTTTTTCCTAGGCTGATGTGTCTCAGAAGCTTTTTAATTGCTTAAAAGTACTAAAGTTTTTAGTACACAAATGTTATCGGCCATTAAATAGTGGGATTTATTAACCATTTTATTTTAAAAACTTTTTATTTGTAAAATTTTATGATTGATTCATTGGATTTGAAGCAAGATATGTTTATTTTTCAGTTATTCATCATCTTAAAAAAGAGTGTATTGATTAAGTGTGGATTAGCATTATTAAGTAATTGTTAAATAATAACCCTGATTTTGACATCTTGATCCTACTTTCTCCTGAATATGCTACTGAGTACATTCTTGATTCTATGTGTTATACTTCAGGGGATCTTATAACTTCATTTTAAAGCCCAGAATTATTTGAAATATAAAATAAAACAGATTTAACAATGAGAAGTAAAAACTTTTATTATCAAATTTAGTCACTGTCTCAAAATTTATATTATAGATCAGACCCAACCTGCCCAAACCCATTTTTTGGTATTGTTAAACATAAGTACATTTAACAAGATTATTATTGATATACATTGTAGGAAGGGGATTCAGAGTCAGAAGAAATGTTTTAAGACCAGTTAATATGATCAAAATATGGAAAGGAAAGCCAAACAGATGAATGTGCATAAATCAATGAGTGTAGCTGTTCCAAAGGAGGAAGGCACACAAGAAGAGATCCGCTATAACAGGCGGCAAAGGTCCATTTGGGTCAGTAGAACTTTGAGACAGGAAGTGGACAGATAATGAGATAATGGTGAGTAACTAATCAGACTGCAGATGGGAGCTGGTACCTTTGGGAGCTGGTCTGACAAAGAAGGTATACGGAGTACAGGGTGGGTTTGGGGCTCCTGTACCAGTTTTGGAAAGAGGTGTCTGAATAATAGAAGTCAGGGAGAGCTGACAAAAGAGGCACCAAAGGGTTGCATGGGCCTATTGGGATCATACTGATGAGAAGTTATAACCAGAATGGTTTCTGATACTCAAATAGAAATGGTCAAAGAGGATTTAAATGTGAAAAGCATGAACCTTAGGGTCAGAGGAAGTCAGTTTTTTAATCTCAGGCCTGCTACTTACAGATTTAGACTTTGAGTATATTTTTAAATCTCTCTGAGCCTCAGTTTTCTCATTTGTAAATGGGGATAATAATATCTTATGTCAGCGGTGCTATAAAGATTAAATAATATTATATATAATCACTTAACATATGGCTTCATACTTTGTTAATAATAAAATGCTTGGTATTAATTGGCCAAAGAAAACATGTATAGCTAATAGACACATATAAATTTTAATAGCTAGAAAATACTACAGAGATTATTTTTCAAATTCCTCCAAAAATAGAAAGAACTGTAATTAAATTAATGAATTCTGGTTCTGCCTTATGATTTTTGTTAAGTATAATTATTTGCTTATAATAGGATTAATTTTAAAAACCCACTTAGGATCATTAGTAGACATGAGAATGAAACCATGTCTGTATTTTTCCAAACGTATGTTGACTTCCTTGACAAATTCTTCCTGTAGTTCTTGGTATACTTTTGATTAAGATATAAAGGTCTATTTTAACAAGTTTTACAGTTGAGCTTTAAGAAATGAAGGATGACTTGAACTAATCATTATTGCTATAAATATAAGCACACTTTGGTTTTCAGAAAAAATATATACATACAATTTTGTGGGGTATAAGTATGATATTGGAGCAAAAGTTGAGGCCTCAAGGAGCATTTCTGGCTACATCGCAACTGTTCTAAAGGACTATTCTATTCTAAGCAGCAGTAGCAGCAATAAACTCACATTAGTAAAAATAAACTAATGAGATAATTATCATGAAACACCACTATGTCTTCCACCATTTCATATTCTGAAGGCTTAAGTGACACATAAATAGTCAAAAATAATATCATGGCATATCTGAAAAATTATTAGAGGTTTTTAATAAGACTTTCCCTCTAAAAATATTTTCTCAAAACGTATGCCAATATATACACTTGTTTGGAATGGTAGTTTTGATGTATAGCAAACTAGCTCTTCCTGTTATACTTTTGATAATTGTCAGCCAGTTAAGTTAATATCCTTCTTTTCCAAATGGGGTCCTGTTGCTGCAAGGAAGAATGTAGATGAGAGCAGTGATACACAAATTCGTTCATCCATATGCAGAAGAGAAATAACAAACCGACGTACACAGAAAAGGTGAAAATACAGCCTCAAAAACCTTTAGTTTTTCTGTTTTAAATTTCCTCCAGAGAAGACATAAATGCATTCAATTTTTTTTTTTTTTGGGGACAGAGTCTTTCTTTTTCCCCCGGGCTAGAGTGCTGTGGCGTCATCCTAGCTCACAGCAACCTCAAACTCCTGGGCTCAAGCAATCCTACTGCCTCAGCCTCCTGAGTAGCTGGGACCACAGGCACGCGCCACCATGCCCGGCTAATTTTTTCTACATATATTTTTAGCTGTCCAGTTAATTTCTTTCCATTTTTTGGTAGAGACTGAGTCTTGCTCTTGCTCAGGCTGGTCTCGAACTCCTGAGCTCAAATGATCCGCCCGCCTCGGCCTCCCAGAGAGCTAGGATTACAGGCGTGAGCCACCACGCCCGGCCTGCATTCAATTTTAATCAAAAAAACTCCTAAAGCTTCCCTTTTATCATACTGATAAAATTTTATTGACTATAATTTTTAGTCATAAAAGTTTTTCTTGAACTTGATATTGCTAAAATTTCCTGTCAATCTGACTGGCATATGTCACGATGTTATAAAGTATAAGCACCTCCCTTTGTGAACATAACATGCCTTGAACTCAGACGATATAAAGAAAATAGGGCGGGGCGCGGTGGCTCACGCCTGTAATCCTAGCACTCTGGGAGGCCGAGGCGGGCGGATCGTTTGAGCTCAGGAGTTCGAGACCAGCCTGAGCAAGAGCGAGACCCCGTCTCTACTAAAAATACAAAGAAATTAGGACAACTAAAAATATATAGAAAAAATTAGCCGGGCATGGTGGCGCATGCCTGTAGTCCCAGCTACTGGGGAGGCTGAGGCAGGAGGATCACTTGAGCCCAGGAGTTTGAGGTTGCTGTGAGCTAGGCTGACGCCACGGCACTCACTCTAGCATGGGCAACAAAAGCGAGACTCTGTCTCAAAAAAAAAAAGAAAATAAATTAGTCTTCAGGCCTTTTCTTCAGTTGAGGTCCAGGTAAGGGTGGCAGGCACCATCCTGGATATGACCTTGTCATTCCAGGCAGAAGGAAGGAGAGTTGCCTGACATATACCACTTACAACTATGTTAATTACATATGTAGTAGTTGTACAAGCTGTCAGATCACAAATTCAAACAGGGAATGACATAGTAGAGAGAAGCACACGTAATTATTTGTCTGTCGACTTTGCCCATTCAAAACCATCCCCTAGTCAGGAATTAATTATACATCTTCCAATTTATGCCTGTTGCAACATTTCTGAAACACAGCTGAACCTCATCATGATCAATTAATGTGGGGCTGGAATGGGAGCCACCTGAAACTGACAGTTAGCATCTATTGAACATCCTGAAAATGGTTAGGTGTGGGTTAAAATATCCTGTCTTGAGGAGAAGAAGACAAAAGAGAGGATCATGCAAAGGAGGAGGTGACATAAGTCAATGGCAACCACAGGGTTCAGATTTTTGAGACTGTATTCTTACACGATATTTCATGACCGTTTAAGAAGACATGCAAAGGAAAGTACCTGTACACCAAACTTATTGCTGTGTAAAGAACAGCAAAAACAATAAATTCCCTGTACAGTAGTTTGTAGATGCTGCCTCTCCACTTGAAGAGTAACCTATGAAATCCAAAAAAAGTCGCATTTGCTACTTTACTGGAGTAAGTGACAGTCATCTTGGGTAGTTTTTTCTAGAAGAGCAAGAAGACAAAACACAAGTAAACAGTACTGTTTAAGATAGGGTGTAGATCTGTATATAAAAGGAAACTCAAGCCAGCAACCGGTTAGCCCTATCCCTTTTTTGTCTTTCTCAGTTTGTATAATTTGGAACTTTTGGATAACCATCATCTCAGTGCTAGACCTTTTAGCAGAAAACAAGAGGAAAGGAGTCTCTGGAAAGAGTGCTATTAGAAACCTGAAGCTTGCCTTAATTGCTAAGTATTATTTTTAGATTATATGGCCATTGTTCAATAAATATTTGAATGAATAAATGAGTCATATGAGATATATTATAAGGTCACCTACATATATTTTCTTAATCCATGGAAGATTTAGGGTATTGATATGCTATATTAATGACACTTTCAAAAGCAGTGGCCAAACTTATTATTCGGGTTTCTATTTGCCAAAGAATGTAAAGAGGTATTTATTTTACTCTTAAACTTCCTAAGGGGTCGTTTTGGCTCTTTTCTTAGAAATCAGGAGATACTGTTAGAAAGAAGCAAGGCCCCTGTGGGAATTTAATTGATGGGTTACTTTTGGTGGTTTAGGTGGATGTTGGTGTCTCTCTGGTGGAGCTCTGAGTGCATAGTTAGCACACTATGTACTTCAAAAGGTCGCCAAAAAGTTGGGTCACAGTGATAAGAAAGGTGCACTTTTCTTATGCACTTTTCTGATGAAAAGTCTTGAATAATATGCTTAGGGATGGTTCACTTTCTGTCTGGAGCTGAACAAAATGAGGTCATTAGTTGAGACTCTCTCTACTGGGATCTGTTTCACGGATGTGGTTAGGAAGTGCGCCAGGCCCCAGAGCCTCCTTTTCAGTGAGTTTTTGAGAACTCCATCACTTTTCACCAAGACATTAACCATTCAGGTTTTGAGATAGATGGTCTGAAGCTAATCTTTGTTTGAAAATTCTGCTCAACTACTGACTAACATGGAGCTTAGGCAGATAAAATGAGATTTCTTTGAAATTTTGGTTTTTTCAAAAGGATGTGAGAGTCTTGTATAGCTATATAGACTGAAATCATGGAGCTTTTAGGTAGAATTGTGCTGGACACAAAAAATAAATGCTATAGCAGATTTCTTACATAAAGTAACCTACATCACACATTTTATCATAAACAAGAAAACTGTCTTTATTTGGCACTGGGAAAACAATCCAATTCTAATTTGCCCATTTTCCCTAAGGAAATGAAACTCTGGAGGTACATTACAGCATTTTTTTAAAAAATCACAAAGTTAGCCTTCAACATCACTGATTTTAATAAAGAAACCAGGGCCTTTCGGCATAAGTAAGTGACATTACAAAAGGATGGGACTCATGCCACAAAACTGGTTTCATTTTTCCATCTTTACCTTGTCTATTTGTCTAATGTGAATACAGCCAAAATTGGGAGAGGAGCATAACAAATTTAGCCCATTTCATAATTTGTTCTCATGGGCATAGTAGTTTTAAATAACAGTCCTCAAATAACTTTCCTTTCTTTCATTTAATAGTTCACTCTTTCAGGACAACTAAAATCTAATAGAGTAGAGGTCAGAATTAAAATGGTTTACTCTGTGCACTAACCTATATATTGGGTTTGGAGTCTCCCACAGGAAAGAGAATCTTCAAGTTTCGGGTTCCCCCCTGAAGAGGTGCCTTCAGGTCGGTGCTGCACTCTCGGTTTCACCCTTCGCTCGTGCACGGACAGATTTTCTTTCTGTTCTCTGGCTACTGAGAGGACCCAGAACATGGCAAGTACAGGGGTTAAATATTTTTCCATTTGTGGAGGCCTGTTTATGCCAGTTTGCCCACTGATGACAGTTATAGCCGGGAACAAACAGAAGCAACAGCTGCTGATGCTGCTTTTTTCTAATCTATAATTATAACTCCACCTGCCGTCCAAAGTACCTCTTTGAATGAGAAGTCGACAGTGACATGAAGGATGTTGGGCCGTTTAAGTCTGTTAGATTTATTCTGACTCCACCCTGGGATCAAGGAGGAAAAGTCCATTTGTCCCTAAAGAGTTCTAAAAAGTTCAAGGAGGAGGCTCCACCAGCCAAAAAAAAAAGGGAATTAGGACAGATTTTTTGTGTTTGAAATGAAGAATAAATTCTTACAAAGCCATAAACTGGAGCAGACAAGAATACAAACAGGATTTCTGTTCATTTGAGAGGTATTGAGAATGCTCTTCAATTAAAAGTAACAAGCATGTGTTTGTGTGTTTTTTTTGGTGTGCGTTTGTGTTTTAGAAGAACATAGGGAATTATGATATATGATGGCTTAGTGTAGTGGAAAATGATAATGCACTGATTCATTACATTTCTTATCCTTCCATGGTCAGCTAGGAAAAAATTTAAATTATTAAAAATGTTTTCTCTTAGGTTGATTACGCCTGCATATACTCCTTCTTAAAAGAGTGAGTTCATCAGCATTCTTTAAATAATGGAATAAATAATTTCAGGGCCAATTCCTGGGACCTTTCCAACCTTCTAAAGTAACTTGTGCATCGAGTATTGCACCTTAAGCTTAAAGAAAATGACTACCAAAAAAGTGTGTTTTTTTGGGGAAAGATATAGAAAAAATGCTTATTCTAAAATTGAGAATACATATGGTTAAATATTTTTTCTAATGTATTTTAAATTTTATATGCTTTATCAAACTATAAGTACCTAGAGCAAAGCCAGAGTTGTAGGTGTCTTTAATTACTTGCCCCACTCCTGCTCATAGCTTCAGTCCTATGGAATAATGGATATTAAATATATATTTGACGTTTGAATATCACCTTCACCACTATACTTCTGTTAGTACATTTGGGGGAATTTGTGAACATTTAAAAGTATCTATACAATGCTGCACATCTTATATTTGGGTTGCCATGAAAAGTGGTCAGATAGATCTGATGTTGCATTTATAAAGGTTTGCAAAACTGATTAATGTTGTTGCATTTTAGCAAATCTAAACCCAAGTGCTTATGAAATAGAAACACTGGAGGTATTTTGTAAAATTCTCACTCTTGCATCTTCTGTTGGAAGTGTAGTGGCCCTGAAACGTGGCATAATTTCCAGTAGTCATGACTGCATAACCAGAGGATCTGCCGCCTCTGGGGGCACTGTAAGCATTATTGGTCAGTCTTGTTTTTAAATGGGGGTAATTATGTTCATCTTGCCCATTGGATTGTTGTGGGGAATGACTGATTAATGGTTGGTGGCAGGATTCTAGATGCAAATTATTCAATAATGATTAGATTGAATGAACCCACTCCCATTATTGAGCTCTGAGTTTGGTGGTTATTTCTCACAGGCACTGAAAGAAGCCCTGTAGAAATTAACTCTTTAGAGAAGATAAGCCACTACGGCTAATTTCAAAATACCCAACAAACAACAGATTGCAAAGTGTACTGTTCATATGACTTTTTCCAGTAAACTTTAAAGTTTCTTGTTTAAAATAGACAACATTTTTCCAGATTCTAAAAGTAACACATGATGATTACAAAATAAAAAGTAACATAACATGTAAAGAACAGAGTGGTATTCTACCATGCCACACTAGAGGGGTGTTATCATTTGGCATAAAATTTATCTTTCTAGACTTTTGTAGAAGATATTTTAACTCCTATAATTAATAGCAAACAATATAATAGATTCTTAAGCAAATTCAGGGCTTTATGAAATAACTATACCAATCATATAACTATACCAAACATCAAGTTATGCTGATTTCCAACAGTCCAGATAAGCACATTTGTCTTTGGTTTCAGTAGACCTCCAGTGACAGGACAATTCATAAAAAACAAGTGATCATTTCAAAGCAAAGGGAATACTGATATTCATCCACAGATGTCAAGATAAATCACCCTTTGTTCCTAAGGAAATAGAAAATAGTAACAGCAATAACAAGTTTGGGTAGCCACTACTAACTTCTAGGTGACAACCAGCTATTTAAAAATCCCCACATTCATTTGAAACTGATTTATCACTCCATTGATGTAGGAAATCTTTTGCCAAATTTCTTTTGAGTGCTTAGTTGAACATAGTCATGTGTAGATAAAAATTTGCATTCAAGTATTAACCAAAGACAAGACATTGCTGTATTTTGGAGGATTTGACTCTGAACCTAAGACTTTTGGACATCATTAAACAGGGAATAAGGAATCAGCAAATGTTTCTGAACACGAAAAGGGTTTGAAAAAAATCTTTATTGCATAACAGTGAGTCTATGAGAAGAATGTCTGATGGATTGTAGGAAGGGAATTTGAGGGTTTTTACAGTTGTTCCGGCATGAACTGGGATGGTGGTTGAGAAGAATGCAGAGGAAGGATAGTGAGAGAGAGCACAGAGGAAAACTACCACTGGAGGGAGGAGAAACAGAAGAGGTGGGGAATGGGAGGAGGAGAAGGAAAGAGAGATCCGATAGGATTCTTTTGTAGTCCTTTGAGCCTGTTTGCTCATGAAGAACAAACACTGTAAAACATGATTCTCAAATTTGTTCAGGTGTACTGTTCTTGGGGGGCACCATGAAATTTTGATATGTTTTATTTGATCCTGTAAGTAGGAATAATTTACCAGCAAAAATTACAAGTGGGAGCTCACAGGCCCATAAAAAATTGAGTTGTTGAATTAAATATGATTTGCTGGTGCTTGGTTTTGCTGTTAAAACTTGTTTCTGGCACTTACTAATTTTGATATGTGCTAGATCTGTCTAGAAAAAAAAAGGCAGTATTCAGTGCCAAAAGTTCAAGAAAAATTCATCGAATAAAACACAGAGAACAGTCATTAATTATTTTTTTCCCCACAGCAGAATATGTTGGTTCAGTTGGTTTGAGAACCACTTACCGCGATTTTCTTTTTCCTATAGGTAAATTTTTACTGGTCTAGTTGGATGATAAGCTTCTTGAGAACTCATGAAAACAACAAAGAATTTTTTTCTATTTACTGGTTGCCACGATGGATACAACAACTGCATAACAAGCAGCTGCTTGGAATAAGTCATGGGGCGCTCCAGGTGTATGGAGGTTTCTGCTACATGTCATTGGATGTAGAACTCTGCCAAAAATCAAACCAAAGAGGGTGGGAAACCTCTTCAATTAATTTTTTCTCTTTGTTTTCAGGGTAGAAATGGCCAACTCCTTGGACTAGAAAGGCTATTGAGTTTTATTACAGCTGAAGCTCTAAACTCCTAAGAGACTGGATATTTGAGGAGTCATCATTACTTTCCTTGCATAGAGTAATTGCCAACTCAACAAAACAGAAATGCATTAGCTCAAATTTTGAAGGTTATCTTTTTCTAATGGAAGGTATGGAAACTTTGTTCTATTTTAGAGATGAAAGCTTAGAGTCTAGAGAATTATTACTATGGTGCTGAAAGTGTATCCTGTACTCTATAATCAATGACATTTCTTAAAAGGATGATATCATTCAGCTTAAATACATTCCAGATCACTATAGAAACAAAATTGCAATATAGAACCAATTAAAACAATTAAAAATCAGTTTAATTTCATAAAAAAGACATGCAAATCCAAGTATATGGTTTATTCCATGCAGCTGTGAAATTCTGTTACTTTATCACCATGATGGTAGAAGGTGGTAGAAATTATTAATATATTACTGTGTGGGTCAAGGGAAGACATAGGTAAATAGAAAAATGTTATGCATAACTATGTAGATGACTGTAAAACACCTTTTGTTATGTGATAAAATGCATGTGGAAATGAAAATTGTTGGTTCTGCTTCTCTAATATGGTGTATTGAGCATTCTTTGAACATCTTTTTAATTCCTTAACACATATCAGCTCCTTAATTGTGGTTACCACTAGGGAGAGTAGTGGGTTTGAAGTAAGAGGGTAAAGGAAAAACTTCAGTTTGTGCTCCATGTAATTTTTTATTTTTAAGATCACACCCATATTTTCATATTTAATCATATGTAATAAAAAATCTGATTTGACACCACTCCCACATTTATACCTCCAGCCTAGATTTTTCACCCCCAACTCCAGACTTACACTTGATATTTCCATAAACATCACAAACCCAACATGCCCCAAACTGAACTTCTGATCTCTTCCCTCAAACATGCTCCATGCGCAACCTTTCCCATCTCAGTTGATGAACATTCCTTCCCTCCAAAAGGCCAAAACCTTGCAGTCATCCTCAGCTCCTCTCTTTCTCTCACACCGCAATCCAATCTTTCAGCAAATCTCATTGGCTCCACCTTCAAAATGTACTCAGAATCTGTCATCTCACTGTCCGAGCTCACCTCCCTGTCTCCAATGCCCCTACCGCTTCAGAGCCACCTTTGTGGTTCTCCTGGGTCACTCAGCAGCTTCCCACAGGTCTTCCTGAATCTGCACTTGCTCCCTGCAGTCTGCTCTAACACACCGGCAGAATGATCTTATTAAAAAGTAAGTCACCTGAGTCCTGCCACTCCTCTGCACAAAACCCCAAAATGGCTTCCTGTTTCTCTCACAGTAAAAGCCTAAGTCCTTCAATAGCTTGCAAGGTCTTATAGGACTTGCTCCCATTTCCTCTCTGGTCTCATATTACTCCCACCTGTGTACTCATCTCCAGCCACACTTGTCTCCTTTCTTTCCTTGAATGTATCAGGCATGTCCCCAGCTTAAAGGCTTAGTAATGGTGAGTCTTCCCGCCTGGAATGTTCTTCTTCCAGATACCTGAGGCGCTGTCTCCCTCACCTCTTTTGAGTCTTGGCTCACATATCTTCTGAAGGAGCTGATCACCTGCTTAAAACTGCATACTGCCCTGCACACCTCCTCCTCACGGCACTAATGATCCCTTTACC